GCACGTTCTCCTTGCCGAGACCCCACACCGTTCTTGTGAGGAGTGAAGTTCTTCGTGACTGTGACGGATTAGCTGACGGAAACATCGGACTGCTACTAGAAAAAGGACTATGCGTGGCAAGAGGCCTGGTGAGCCTTCGGGATGGATGTGCGTATGTCCTATTAACTAACTTTCGAAATGAGCTGCAGCATGTTGCGAAGGGAACATCCGTAGCATCGCTGCATGAGTACGTGCAAGTCTCGGATGTTTGCACTCTTGATAAAGCTTCAGAGACAGTAGATAACGTACTCCAGTCAGTAAACATTGACAGAGAGCTCTCATCATCTCAGAAACAACAGATTGCTGACCTCATCAGAGAGTTCGCCGAGTGCTTTTCCACCTCGTCGAAAGTCTGACGTACTCCCGTCGCAAAGCACCGTATCATAGTCGAAGAACATGAGACCTGTGCATCAGCGCCCATACCGAGTAGCGCCAAAAGAAAGGGAAGCCATCAAGAACCAAGTGCAGGAAATGCTCAACGATGATGTAATCCAGCCATCCAACAGTCCGTGGGCATCACCAGTAGTGCTAGTCAAAAAGAAGGACAACACTCTGCGGTTTTGCGTTGACTACAGAAAGCTGAACCAAGTCACAAAGCGTGATGTTTACCCACTTCCACGGATCGATGATGCCTTGGATAAGTTACGCGATGCTCACTTCTTTTCATGATTGGACTTAAAAAGTGGATATTGGCAGATCGAGGTAGACGAACGAGATCGCGAGAAGACTGCGTTTGTGACCCCAGACAGACTATACGAGTTCAAAGTGCTCCCTTTCGGTGTGTGCTCTGCTCCCGCTATCTTCCAGAGGATGATGGACAATGTGCTCTCCGGACTCAAGTGGCAATCGTGTCTCGTCTACCTCGACGATGTAGTGGTTTTTTCTTCTACCTTCGAGCAGCACATCCACCGACTGAGAATGGTACTGGATTCCATTCGCGTGGCAGCACTGACTATCAAACCGGAAAAGTGTCACTTTCGATTTCGTCAGCTTCGGTTCCTCGGGCACATAGTTAGTGCGGAAGGCGTCCGCCCAGACCCGGAAAAGATTGCAGCAGTTGAAAATTTTCCGAAACCGCAAGACAAAAAGGCCGTCAGAAGTATCCTGGGACTATGTGCCTTCTACAGACGCTGTGTTGAAAACTTTGCCAAGGTCGCTGAGCCTTTGACACGGCTAATGAAAGAAAGTGTACCACTCTCTTGGCGGGAGGAACAAGAAGCGGCTTTCTCAGAGTTGCGACGCCGTTTGCAGTCTCCTCCAATACTTGCCCATTTTGACGAAGAGGCCGATACAGACATACACCGACGCGAGTAACGTTGGCCTCGGTGCCATCCTCGTTCAGTGGCAGAATGGAGAAGAAAAGGCCATTGCTTACGCGAGCCGCACTCTATCGAATGCTGAATCCAATTACTCAGCGACAGAGAAAGAGTGTCTCGCAGTTATATGGGCCATCAGCAAGTTTCGCCCATACCTCTAAGGCAGACCGTTTCGAGCAATCAGTGATCATCATTCATTGTGTTGGCTGGCAAACATCAAGGACCCTTCAGGAAGACTTGCTAGATGGAGCCTGCGCCTGCAGGAACATGACATCACTGTGGTCTACAAGTCCGGTCTCAAGCACAATGACGCGGATTGCCTGTCTCGCGCACCTGTTGAGTCTCCATCATCTGACCAAGAACAAGACATCCCATTTCTTGGAGTTCTGAATGTGTCGGAGATGGCTCGTCTTCAGCTTGAGGGTCACTTGGAGGGTCACCAAACTAAGGTACCACAAGTTTTCGTCCGTGGTTTGACATCCTATGTCCTCCGGAACGACGTCCTATACAAGCGCAACTTCGTAAACACTGGCGAGACGTTTCTGCTTCTTGTACCATCATCACTGCGAGCAGAAATCTTAGAAGCGTGTCATGACCACCCATCGGCTGGCCATATGGGTAGTAGACGCACTTTGGCCAGAATTCGCCTAATTTCGGCCAGAATTACTTGGGGATTCGGTGCACCATTATGTTAAGTCATGCCGAGATTGCCAGAGACGTAAAATACCACCATCGAAACCAGCGGGTCTGTTGCAACCAATAGAGCCACCAAAAGGGCCATTTCAGCAAGTGGGAATGGATTTGTTTAATCCATTTCCTCTCTCTTCATCGGGAAAGCGCTGGATTGTTGTAGCAGCAGACTACATGACTCGATATGCTGAGACATCACCTCTCGCGAAAGGAACGGCGAAGGAAGTAGTCCAGTTTTTCGTCACTCATATTGTACTACGACATGGCGCACCGCAGGTTGGCATTACAGACAAAGGAACAGCATTTACTGCCCGTTTGATGCAGTCAGTTATGAAGCTCACCCACACCGACCATAGAAGGACTACAGCATACCATCCGCAAACAAATGGATTAACTGAAAGGCTCAATAGAACTCCCGCCGACATGATCCCGATGTATGTGGACTTTGAGCACCAGACATGGAACAGTATTTTGCCTTATGCAACATTTGCGTATAATACTGCAGTACAAGAAACGACACACTTCACGCCATTTCAACTTGTTTATGGTTGGACGGTCACAACGACCTTAGACGCGATGTTACCTGTCAACGATTCGAATGAGAGTGACCCACACATTAGCGACTACATGGAAAGGGCAGAAGAGGCACGGCAATTGGCAAGACATCGTATCATTTTGCAACAAGGCTCCGACGCAAGTCGCTATAATCTGAAGTGGAGAGACGTACAGTACAACCCCGGAGACAAAGTGTGGGTGTGAACGCCTATACGCGCACCTGGCCTATCGGAAAAACTGATGCGGCTCTATTTTGGCCCTTACAAAGTACTTCGCCGGTTAGGCATGCTAAACTACGAAGTAATTCCTGAAGGGCAAGTGTGCTCAACCCGACGCAGGAATCGCCCAGAAGTCGTACATGTAGAACGAATGAAACCGTACTACGAAAGGCACTGAACGAGACAACTGATATATGTGCTCAAACATCAGATAAATACTCCTTTACAAAACTGTTCGATGTCAGCGTACGCATCGGGACGATGCGTTTCGAGAGGGGGACTAATGCCGCATGTTGTTAGGCACCTACCGAAGTCTTGCACCGCTTCCTGCTCCTATGAATTCTGCCACACCAACTGACAAGCCAAACGCGCCCTGCAACGCTGGCTGCACATGTCACCACACCACGCGCTGAAAAAGGAACGCTGGCGGTTTTTCGAGGAGCAGCTCGAGGGAAGACACAAGAGAAGAAGTTGAGGTTTTGACTAGTGAGCTCACAACCTTTGTGTATTTTGTCCACAATATCGAGCATTTAGTTGACGGGCACAAGTTCGCCATTAATAAATAGCTGTTTTAGTTTCCGGCACTGTATTTGTTCGTTACAGTATCACACACACTGTTCTTGGTTCACTGCTAGTGCAATCTTTAGAGTGCCGAATCTTCACATTTTGGATAAACTTTCCGCGACAACATACCAAACAGCAAGCTAGGCCTAATCGGTGTTGGTTGCGCTTCGATCGATAGCGGTCGCATGAATTTAAGCTGCGGTTTGGTACCGAATCAACCAAACTTTTTGTGGTGGCCGCACTTGACGGGAAAGGGACACATATCGCTAACGAAAACGAGGGCAGCACCTGTAGCTCTCAAATAGTGGTTCGCGATTCGACAGTTTCTATGTAATGCATTTAATCGAGGTGGTCTAGTAGCCGGCAAATTTCTGCGATGGTGCTTTCATTTGTTAGACCCCTCCACCCTTTCGCATTGATTTCATTGGCAAAGCGTGTCTTTGAATGTTAAACTTTTCCAACATTCAGACATTTTAATGTTAGTAAGCACGCATCACACATTTCGATTTTCGGACACGCAAAGCTGCATGTTCAACACGTTTTGCGCAAGTGCGGCCCTTGAAAAAGGTTGTTCTGGTTACAGTGCGGTACCACTTTTAGTGCGGATATTCACGACTCCCGCGACTTACGTTATAAGAGGTCTATACTGTATACGCACAAAGACTGCAAGGATGCTGAAACTCCCCTTAAAGGACTATGGCATCTGCTGGTGAAATACACATTTCTTCATTCAAAAAAGTACATGCTTTATGAGCAAGCGAAATCATGAAGCCATTTCACAGCACCGGCAGCCTATTTGTGCACAAAGTGAAGAAGAGGAGGCATTCGTGTTTTTCTTTTTTCAAGCACTGACCACAACATCTTCAAATTATCATTCCACTATGCCTTATGCTTAAGCACTTTTTTACTTTATTCACCTTCATATTAAGCATTCCATGCCTGTCACTATTCATTAAGTTATCCAAACACACACACAGCTTTAAAAGTCCCCCAAGGAAAATGAAAAAAATATCTCTTGGTGACCACACTAGCACGGCAGCACTGATGTGTTTCTAAAGCAGCCACTGCAGAGTATAATTTTTGTTTTCAAGATACATATGTGAAAATTATCAGAGCGCGTAAAGAAGCACAGTTGATGCAATATAAATGTTCCATCACAAACAAAACATGTGCAGGCCTGGCAAAATACTGCAATAGATACATATCAAATAAGTCTACACTAAGAGTAGCACGGCTCAAGCAGTCAACACAAGAAAGGGCATGCAATCCTTTCAGACAGCCCAACAGCGCCACATGCTGACAGAGACAGGTCACCAAGCACCAGCCCACCTTTCCCAAACCCACGGTGCGTGCAAAAGCAACTTGGAAAACAAGCATGTGCTCCCCGCGAATGCAGAAAGTCAGACTAAACAGCAGAATGAAACTTCACTTGAGTGAACTTTTCGATTTTCAAATATCCAGCAGAATTTTAACTTTCCCTTCTGCAAGCTTCGTACCACCTCACATTACAGAGAAAGAAAAGGGGGAGGGGGATGGGGGAGGGAACACTCGCAACCCCCATCCTAACATCAGGCATGCTTTGACAAACCTGTATTAATACGAATGGAACACAGCTCACCATTGAGGGCCCAATAATGTCTGATGCATCCGCTTTTCCTTGCCATGTAGAATGGGGTAACTGTTGGAATAAAGCACTCTTGGACTGCACGCACTAGGGCCCAAAAACAGATGCACCTTTACGCAGTTCAGAACTGTAACCTTTTGTTTTGCATGCTTTTCATGTGAATGTAGGCCTGACTTCTGCTGTTCAGTCAAGTGAAGTTCTACTGCTTGAAAAACTCGTTGAAATTGCATCAAAGGTGATGTGCCATCCCCACTAGACTTTAAATTGCTAAGCAGTGAGCTCTACTAGACTTCCTAAATAGTTTCTCGCTTTCCATCATAATTTGTTGTTTTGCAACTGTTATACCTCTACCTGATGACAATTCCATTGTGAACTGAGGTTATGGTTGTTTTCTGCCTCCCATGCTGGTGCTGAATACAAGGAGCCACTGTTGTTGTTCACCTTGTGCGTCCCAAAAGAAGTTTGCTACCGTTTTTCTGGGTGCATTTCCGTCATTAACAGTCGCCCCAGCGACAAGAAAAAAAAAAACTTAAAAAAAAAAAACACTAACCATTTTTAAAGGCAGCGAGTGTGCCTTAGCCTCGGAGCTTCCCAGTACCCAAGCTGTAATGTTCTCTCCTCGAGAAAACGATCATTACATAATCTTAAAAGGCGTCCAACATTGCGACCGGAGCTGTGATCGCAGCTGCATACTGGCAGACCTACCTCTTGGGCCGTTTTCATCTCTGCAAGACGTCTTATCAGTGACCAACAGAAAGTGCCTCGCGTTTCTCCCCCAAGCTATGCAGCGTTCCAAGGGTACAACAGCAGCGATTGAACAAGCACCACAAATATGATCTCTCAAAGGCCCCACGGCTTCAAACTTTTGTTTAGAGACTGCATGCGAATACAAGGCCTAATCTGCAAACAGGAACTCACCTCCTCTCGCGGGCTCTCGTTCTCGTTGTCGCCCTCAATCTTGACCCGTACCACACCTGACTTGTCCACCATTTCCTGAATAATGCGGCCATTCTTTCCTATAACCTTGCCTGCAGGAAGAAAGCGGGACCCAGTTATGTGTCACGCGCCATATCACAGGGAAACTATTACATGTACCTATCCGAGGGGCTTAGCATGGCCTCGATTGAATGAATGAGCATAACTATTTTCAATGTAAGCTATCTCTTGTGGTAAGGTGATACTTACACAACATACCATATCTGGAGCCGCTGCATGAGACACGAATGCCATCTGGCAGTAATTTCAGGATGTAAAGCTTGTGTAGAACACAGAGCCAATGGTAGATGGTAGCACTGTTTTGTCTTAGCAAGCGTCGCATTGTCAGCGCAGCATAAGAAATGCTAGGGTTTTACGATTCCGCATCTATGCATTTTCTAGTAAACAAACACACTACCTAATATTTCTGTATAGAGGTTGTGCCTTAGATATGCATAATATTTGCCTTTTTATCAAGAATGTTAACAAGTATAAAAGCAGTCACCAGATAAAGATGACTGGGCGTTCAGCAAGGGCTCAAACCTTCGCCGGGTGGCTGAACCATGATGGACAGACAAACAGAAAGACAGACAACAAAATTTCTGCATCGAAGTGTCCTAAGAAAGACTATCGATTGATTGATATGTGGGGTTTAATGTCCCAAAACCACTATATGATTATGAGAGACGCCGTAGTGAAGGGCTCCGGAAATTTAGACCACCTGGGGTTCTTTAACGTGCACCCAAACTGAGCACACGGGTAAGAAAGACTATCGTCTCTAAAACTACTACTAATAATTGTCGAATTCGAACTGCCTGCATATTTCACTGCTAGCTCTAACGCTACTCTTGCACGCACTTCATGACTGGGCTACTACTCAAAATGACATTAAAAATGCTTAAAAAATGAAATGACAGATAGATGAAAAAAAAATGCAAATAAAAGCAATACAATAAAAAAGAGGTTCCGCCTGCCACATTCAGTACTTACCGACCAATAGCCTAGGCACTTGGATGGACTCCTCTGCGTACTCCAGCATGCCCCGTGCTGTTTTCACTGACTCCTCCGTCTGGAACAAAGAGCTGAGCACTTAGTGACTACACCAACTGTCCTAGAAGCAATGATCTTTACTCTTGAGCACTTTGTTAGTTTCGCTTGTTATTTTAAAAAGGATAATTCGGAGGCTGCTCCTCACATGGACAAGCGCATGCAATGAATCTAAGACTTGTTACAGAAATATGATATGCATGTTCACATTGCCATTAATTAGACTACTAATTTTCAAGGTAGCATGCCACATGCAAATCACTGCAAAATAGCAATAACAACAATGAAGTTTAAGTAAAACAAAGCATGGTGATTAAATGCACAAAAAAGTATAATGCCCATACTTGAAGGACTCTGCCGTTTTTTTTTTTTTCACTAAACGTTTCAGAAAAAAATATTTGACAGATTTTTATCCAGAGTGCACTCTGTCATATCTTAATTTTTTTCTGAACAGTTTAGCGCACAAAAAAGGGTTTTCCTTTAAGAGTGCATACCAACCAGCCCAAGCAGCTACCCAGTTGTAATCCCCATAGTTCAATACGGCAACGAAAAAATTTTTAAGCACTCTAAAACTTGCAGTCATCAGGGCCTTCAAAATGACAGCTTTGCAAAAAAAGTGCTTGCATAATCGCTACGAAACGTGTCCAGGGGCGTAGTTAAGAAGAGACTCACTCACACAAGGGGAAACAAATAGAGGCAGGATAAAACACGAGCCCACCTCGCCGAATATCTTGAACGTGCAGGTTGCCTCTTGGAGTTCAATGCCCGTGACACCATCCAACTTCCGAGCATTCTGGATGTTGGCCCCATGAGCCCCGATGGCCAGGCCCATCAAGTCCTCTCGTACACTGAACTCCTCCACAAAGCCGGAGCTTGACTGTAGGCGCGTGCTCTGCACATCACCACACATTCACATTGATTTTCACACCATTAGGGAGGGCACACAAAACTTGCAAGGATTGCTACAGTAAAACTTTGAAGGGGCCCTGCTACACTTTTCCAAGTAACTACTGAAACAATTTATTACATACGTTTATTCTTTCAGTTTTTAGAACCCACGAAGTAAGAGCAAGATATACGTAATGAGTTGTAATTGCTTGCTCTCGTCCCGACAAATCGCTGGAAGCTAAGCCAAGGGGTAGCAGGGAGGGGATAAGGTTAACGCTATGCATTCGTGATGACCTTAGCACAGTTTTTTTCTTCATCTCTTCGAACACACAACTTCCTTTTGATGTGATCGCAAGCAAGCACACGGACACATGGCAACCTTGGTAGCTGTGCAGCTCACAATGCTCAAATCAACCAATTGCCATGAATAATTTGTAAAAGGAAAGTGAGAATTTTAATTAATTTTCATCATTAATTTTTAGAAGGAACAGTTTCAAGCCAACTCCAAAGTTTTTTTGTAAATTCTGGGCCACGTGCTGCACTATAATGTTTGGCTAGTTTTCAGGAGCCTGGACTACCCACCGGCAGAATTTTCTGACCATGCTGAAAGTGTTGCAGGGCCCCTTGAACATTTATCCACTTCAAACGTTCAAACAATTAAAGCGTAGTTGTAAAGAATCCCCGGCCGAGTCTCATAGAGCCCAAAGCTTAAGCCATGGTGGCTTCATAGAAGACACCCGAAGCGCACTGTGCCACTATTCTGTTGCAATCTTACGCGGGACCTATTTCAAGTATTCGTCACTTTGTGGATAAAACAAAATAAAAAAGGTACTCAAAATATTCCTGAACGATCAGGCACGGCATGGCAAAGCACTAAAATCTTGTTGCGGTAACACAACCACAGCAAATGCACACAGCACTGTTCTAAGCGTACTGCACGTTTACTGCACAACTCAGATGTGCTCAGACTCAATGTTGCCACCTCCTTGTGAAGGACCACAATCGCATTGCAGGAACATAGTTTGTGTGTGGACAGCTTGCAGCATGCTTGTCATTACAATGTTAACTGAACACTCACCGCGCATAAGTCAGCAATGGGGAGAGGCCACTCTTCAATGCAACATACGGCACAGCAAGCATGTGAGCTGAGTAGACAACGCACTGCATGCAACCAACCAGGGACAATCGGCTCGACGCAACAGCAGATTACAGTATTGGTACGCACACGCCTAAGGGAAAGACAACATGTGCTGTATACCCTGTAATAGTTACGAAATTCTCCTCAGCGCTGCCACTCCACACTACCAAATGGATGTGACAGACGGACAACTTGTTCTGAAAATGCCTTGCAACAGGTACTTTACGCATTTGTTTGTAGTGGCAGTGAGCATCAGGGGATGCAAACTTGTACTTGACGATAACTGCATGCTATTTGCGTCGTAATGATTCAACCACCAAAAATCACATTCTTTTTTTTCCTCGTAGTTCGAGATGTATGCAAACCTCCGATTGCCGGAGGCTCCAGCAATTTGCACACTTGCACCACTGGCATAGTTCTTGGCTGCAACGCCTACTTGGAAAACTAAATTATAGCGCTTCAGTGATAATGTTTGCCAGCCAAGACATATCGACATTTCGTCTAACTGGCCATCATTAAATTTTTTTATTTTACAACAACAACAACAAAAAAAAAAGGCAAATGGTCCGATCATGACGTGCTGACACAGTGAGGAGCAAGTGACATGCTGCCGGCATATCACAACTGTGTTGTAGTGAAGCAAGTCTTGTTTTCAGTAGGCACACATTTTACTAGACCATGACAGCGTTTTTTTTTTTTCCTCGTGGCAGCAGTGAGGCCCGCCATTCCTCCATGTTTGCGGGATATTGTGGAAAAACATAACCTTTGAAGCTGCAAACTAGCCGGCACAACGAATGATCAGCCCTCATTACTTCGAATAGTTGGAAGTTCCTCGTCTCCCAATTTTTTTTTGTTTGTTCTGTTCATTCAAAAACCTGCTTAATTAGAAGATTTCCCGCGGCCCCAGTGACTTCGAATAAACCAGGTTTCACTGTACATAAATTAACCGCAAAGAAAATGCATTAAGCTGAAAGTGAAGTGAACATGCTTATTTAACAGAATTAGCACATACATTAAACATCCAGATTCGGTCAAGCGTGGTCTAGTTGGATTCACTGGTCGAGAGGTCCGGCAGGAAATAATCGAAGTGCCTGCTGTCGCCGTTCTTACAAAGCGTGCAGTCCTCGGTTCCGTCGAGCGCGTTCAAATGCCCCATTTTCTTGAGGTTCTTGTCGACAATGCTAGGAGAAACAGGTCCCATGACACGACAATACCGGAGCACGCACTCTGCTTTCTTCCACACCGACAGTCGCATACTGAAGTTCTTGGTGGCAGCACGATTCCAGTTTTCTTGGGCAAACCTTGATATCGTAGTCCGTCGCAAAGGAACAGTAAAAACGTGATGGACGAATGAAGAAACCTAAACTTCTGAAATCAACCAAGGGTGCATTGCAGCACGGATGCACAGAATGAGGGGAACAGTTGGAGCCACAGGCCCTCGCACGTCTTCAATGGAAAAAATTGTCCGTGCTGTGTTGCAGCGTGCATTATCAAGGTGGAAGAGATGGAGCAGTCAACGAGTTAGGGGAGAGTACGGTATCCTAGAAACCATATTTTGGTAGAAGTCCTTGCAAAGCCTCGAAAGAATGGGCCTCGCACTCACTGTCTCTTTTTATCTACGACTATTATGCTCGCCTGATCAGTGGAGTACCCGCCTAAAGCTTCGAAGTCTCTTCTTGTGCACGCCGGTGAGCTGGCTTGGGCGGGTCAAGATACACACAATATGCGTGTAGGTGTGTGTGTGTATATATATATATATATATAGATATATTGTCACGATGTGAAAACGTCACGGTATGGGCAAATGCGGAAAACGTGGCCGGCTTCTCCGCAATGGAAGCAAAGTGGTCACAAGTCCGTCTTACGAATGAATGGTCGACTGGTGGGCATTTGCGACCAAGACGCAGATGTCGGCGAAGTCTACATCGGCGAAGCTTGCATAGGTACGTTAGGCTGTGGATACAGCAGCGGCGGATTGGAAGCTGGGGCCCACGGCTCGTTGTAAGGCCCTTGGCTGACGTCGCGATAGGCCAGTGGTGTCGAGTTGTACGTCACTGGAAGGGGTCGACGGACGGCCGGTGCGTAGCTCACAGACCGCTGGTCTGAAAGCGATTCGGGCAGCGCATATGCCTGGAGGAGTTCTTGCCGCACAACTTCTGCAACAGAAGCATGGCATTTTCTTGCGGAGTCACAAGGAGGTTTCGAATCTCTTATGAACGAGCTCATGCAGAGAACACTCACTGCTGGCAGTCAAAGCAGAGGCTGGGAGATGTGTTGTTTGGTTGGTTGTATCCGCGCCGTTGCTGCAGTGCTCGCTCGATTGTCGTAGCCTCTTTGATAAATTCCACTACGCTTGTTTGGTGGGTTGTGTAGCAGACCGGCAAACAGCTCTTCTTTGACACCCTTCATCAGATGTCGGAGTATTCTACCTTCAGACATCTCGGGGTCAGCCCGCCCAAATAGTTGGGTCACGTCCTTCGCAAACATGGCGACGCTCTCGTTCGGTTTTTGTATGCCTGCCTCGATGAGCTGCAGAGCAGAATCACCGTGGTCGGTGTTTGCGAATGTCCCGAAAATTTGCTGCCGAAATTCATCCCACTAGACAGCGTTGACTCGTGGTTCTCGGACCACGTACGAGCGCTGTCTGCCAAAGCAAAGTATACGTGCGATAGCTTTTGTTCAGTGGGCCAGCGGTTGGCCTTGGTGACGCGCTCATACTGGGCTAACCAGTCCTCAACGTCTTCATAGACCTCACCGTGAAAGGTCTCAGGGAATTTGAGGCTGCTCAACAGTAAGCTGTGAAGGTCCTCCGGTAGCCATTTCTCCAGGCACGGTGTGTTGCTGGAGAAGTTAGAGGGGGATTGCCTCAGGGACAAAGGCCTCCCTGTCGGCGACTGTAGCGGTGGACAGGAGTATCCACTGCAGGAACGGGTTGCGGTGGGGAACAGTGCTAGGGCGCAGGTGTCCCAAGCATCAGTTGGAGAAGTCCAGCACCTCCACCAATGTCGCGACGTGAAAATAACAGGATACAGGACGCGGGTGTGACTAGAAAAAACAAGGTCTGTATTAACAGAACAAAGGAGCAGCCGCTTTGACGTCGTCTTTCTCGAGCAACCGTGGGTGCTGTCCGCGCTCATCACTTCGTCGTCCTCTAGCCCGGCCTTTAGCCGTGACATTATATGCACAGTCGAACGTGTATATATCGTGTTCGAAGGGGATCGTGAATTAGATATATCAAAAATTCAATATAAAGAATACAGGCCCCCCGAGAGCTTACCTGTAGCAGACTATCACCTACGAAAGGCGCATTCAAGAATGGCAACTAATTTTGCACACATGCCGCAAAAGAATGTTTAATTCGCACGAAAAAAATCTTTTGGCCCGCTAGTTCATTTTAAAAATGAAGTTGAAGACGTTAGTCTTGATCTTATCAAGGCTGTCCAGTTGCGACAACCTGGTTCCCTCCATGTCACCGCCACTTTGGCGGTGGAGTACGTGTGTGCAGCCAGCACCTCGTCTAGACAATCCTCCTTGTCACTTGAGCTGTCAGCCTGAGCATCCTCGGTCCCTGTGACCGCAGCTACGATGTCCTCGTCAGCGAGGATTGCAACCGCCTGAACATTGCAGTCCGCTTCCACGAAATTGTCTGCAGACACTTCGTGTATAACCGCTGTCCGAAAGAGGGACGACAACTCGCGAAGCGTGTTATCTAAGCGCACTGTCTTCCTCGGTTTCTGCAAATTCCGCCGTCACACGACAGGCTCCCGACGTTTGATTCTCGGCCACCTTTGCCTTGTTCTTAAACATTGTACTCAGAGGCTCCGTGGTATCCCGAAGTTGTCCGCGATGGTCAAACATTTCTCGCC